ACCACTGCTGGTGTTGAGGTAAGAAATGCTCACTTTTCCTTCTATCCAGTACAATGTACCACAGTATGTTACAAAGGCACCGTTCTCCTTTTCATTGTAGGACTATTGTGCGAGCAAGTTTGGAGCCATAGGCTTCCATGAGTCTTTGAGCCATGAATTGAAAGCGGCTGATAAGGATGGAATAAAGATGACGCTTGTCTGTCCTTTTTTAGTTGACACTGGCATGTTCAGCGGCTGCAAAATTAGGTTTGTGGTTTTTACTGCAGATCCTTAATTTAATTCTCATGTTCTAATTTTGATTAATTTAATTGTTCTCTTACAATCTTTTATCTTTTTTAAACAGGAAAGAAATGGCACCATTGTTTCCACCGCTAAAGCCGGAGTACTGTGTCAAACAGGCCATGAGAGCCATACTAACAGACCAACCAATGATCTGCACGCCACGAGTCATGTACATGGTCACCTTCATGAAAACGTAAATGAATGTCATAACTTGAATATTCTTGTTTTATTTAATCTATTTATAATGGTCTTCAATCTCTCATATTTTGCAGTGTTTTGCCATTTGATGCCATTGTGTGCATGTACAGATTTATCGGGGCTGATAAATGCATGTACCCCTTTCTGGCTCAACGCAAGGAGTCCACAAACAACAATGAATCAAAGACTGGAATCTAACTGGTTCTGACTGAGCAACGCTGCTACATTCTGTGTTAGTTCCTCTGGAACGCTGAAAGCTGTACATTGAATTTTTTTCAGATGGCATTTTGCTGTCAACTGTGAGGTTGCAATAATTTCAAATCTAGAACACTATGTAGCGATTAGCTTTAATTATGAAATGCTGTGTGATACTGTAAGGTTGCTTAAGGCCTAGATTCACATTTTATTTGTCAAGTATTGTTGCTTTCCTCTCAACATTCCAAGAGTTTGTCACTTTAGAGGTTTTATCCTCCTAATAACTCTATGAAATGCGCTATGTAATGAAAGTATTTCCTCTTGTTGCCTTTGCGGTCCTGATGTGTTGATGATTTGGGAGAACACCAATGATTAAAGCAAAAGATTAGCAGAAATTGCCACAGGTGCTTATTGTTGAATAAACGGCCTTTAAACTAATCATGTACAGTTTTCTTTTCCCCTAATGCTAAGTGATGGAAAAGGTGATTTGTTTTCTGGTTAAAAGTTCTATTTTTAGAGCAGCTTTCCAAACAAGGTGGAGGTTAAATCCATGCTTGAAATCCATAATTTCTCCTCTTTGAATGGTACATCCCATTTCTTTATGCATTCAACGGCAAGAAACATTCCAAAGCATTTAACAGCTATAATCTGTGATAATATACCTTGTTAATAAATTATCTTTGAGGTCAGTTGAACGCACAAAGCAGTAAAAGTATATTATACATTTACTTTCAGCTATATAAATTAAATAGTCAGGTGAGGATATGAGATGTGTATAAAATACATCTGAAAATATGTAACTGAACACGCATGAAGTTTTAACAATGATTGGGCTTCTTAGGGAAAGGACCCACATTTTTAATGTGCATTTTCAGGGGAAAAAAAATAATGCAGAGGAAACCTTGCTGATATAAGAGAATGAAATTAATAAATGCTGATTTAAATGTACAGTGGTGTGAAAAAGTGTTGGCCCCCTTCCTGTTTTTAAATTTTTTTTGCATATTTGTCACTTAAAAGATTCAGATCATCAAACTAATTTTAATATTACACAAAGATAATGCAAGTAAATACAAAATGCATTTTTTAAATGTTATTTATTTTATTAAGGAAAAAAGCTGTCCAAACCTGCCTGGCCCTACGTGAAAAAGTAATTGCCCCCTAAATCTAATAAATGGTTGTGCCACGCTTTGCAGCAACAACTGCAATCAAGTGTTTGCGATAACTGGCAATGAGTCTTTCACATCGCTGTGGAGGAATTTTGGCCCACTCTTCTTTGCAGAATTGTTTTAATTCAGCCACATTGGAGGGTTTTCGAGCATGAATGGACTGTTTAAGCATCTCAATCGGATTTAAGTCCGAACTTTGATTTGGCCACTCCAAAACCTTAATTTAGTTTTTCTTGAGCCATTCAGAGGTGAACTTGCTGGTGTGTTTGGGATCATTGTCCTGCTGCATAACCCAAGTGCGCTTGAGCTTGAGGTCACAAACTGATGGCCGGACATTCTCCTTCAGGATTTTCTGATAGAGTGCAGAATTCATGGTTCCATCAGTTATGGCAAGTCGTCCAGGTCCTGAAGGTGCAAAGCAGTCCCAGATCATCACACTACCACCACCGTGTTTGACTGTTGGTATGGTGTTCTTTTTATGAAATGCTGTGTTGGTTTTACGCCAGATGTAACGGGACACACACACCTTCCAAAAAGTTCAACTTTTGTCTCATCAGTCCACAGAATATTTGCCCAAAAGTCTTGGGGATAATCAAGATAAATTTTGGCAAATGAGAGACGAGCCTGTGTGTTCTTTTTGGTCAGCAGTGGCTTTTGCCTTGGAACATCTCCAGAGTGAGGAAAAGGGCTAAAAAAAAAATAATAATAATCACCTTGGGCCCCTCACACCCAGCCCACTCTGCCTTCTGGTCGGCGCTACAGAGCACTGACCACCAGATCAGCCAGGCACAAGAACAGTTTTTTCCTCACAGGCTATATTCAGTCTGGACAATTAATCTTTCATAATTATACATCGTCTATCACAACTAACAGTTATATTTATATTAAACTGCACACTTTGTAAATAACATATCTGCACACTAATAAACATATCTGTACATTTATCTAAACAATAAATTTTTCTCCTATACTTCTATTTCTGTATATAGTACATTATTCAATTTTTCTTTTATTATATTAGTGTTATATTACATCCCTACTGTGTTATTCCCATGTATGGCTGCACTACGTTTGTACTTTCTTCTGCACTGGAAGCTCCTGTCGTCAAGTCAAATTCCTTGTGTGTGTAAACATACTTGGTAATAAAGCTCTTCTGATTCTGATCTCTCCCATGGATGCCGTTTTTGCCCAGCCTCTTTCTTGTTGTTGAATCATGAACATTGACCTTAACTGAGGCAAGTGAGGCCCCTTGTACAAACTCAAAAAGTATGCAGCATATTCCTCATTAGAGATGAAAGCATAAAAGAAAGAATGGTTGATGTGTAGCAGCCCATTGTCAGGTGTTTGTGATGTGCTTTCACTGGAATCTGTAGTATCAGTTATTAATTATCCACTGACAATTATTTTGCTTCACCAAGAATTGCTTCGAGAGAGACTGTAGTTTACATTTGACAAGTTATATATCTGAACCTCTATCAATTATACATTCTATAGCTCTTGATATACAGTGGGTAATTTTAAGGAACAACTTACTTTCAGCTATGTTTGGTTATCATCAAATTACTAAACTAAACTTTAACTTTCCTGCTAATTGTTATATTTGCAGATTGTTTTATCAAAAGGAAAAACTAAATTTCAGTTTATATCAGAGTCATTGCATCACTGCCCTGTTATCTCAGTAATGTTGGTTTGGTAACTCAATTACAATGAGCCATGAAAAGTCGACAGCTTCCCTGCGTGGGGCTCCCCCTAATCTAGACCCTCTGACTAACAGGTTTAGCCTTGGCCTGTTAACGTCCTTGAAAATGAACAAGCATGAGAGATTACTGATACACAGTCAATCCCATTCCCTTTACCAGGAAATGACACCCACTCCCACACCATGCTCATTTGGATGATACCATTACATTGCCGTAACAGTGATGTCACAGACACATTTCAAGAGAACAGATATCCCATGAGGAAGATCCTAGCATTCTTACTCCAGAGGATTTCCGTCTGACGGAGGAGAAAATTCCGATGATTGTGGTATTCATCAGTCAGAGGACTTTGGAATCACATCTGTATAAACATTCCAGACTACTTTTTTATAACATGGCTCACTGCCATTAGTTCTGAATAGATGATTCACTGAGAAAACATACATCTAGACAGTTAAACACACTGCAAAAATAGTAAGAATCATTCTTGATGACTGGTTTACCCCTGCTGATCACATCGTAACTACTGTTACAACTTCTTGTAGCTTTATTCTTAATTTAATAATAATTATTATAAAATAATACGAAAATAATTATCTGGAATACCCTTTAGTATTCCAAATTACACAGGCCCTATTTTACTGGCCTTCATTTCTCATTCAAAGCACATAATACACAAAAATACATAGTAAAATGCGCAACAATTATACTATTACTATGCTCTTAATGGTTTAACCTTAATACTGTCAACACATTAAATGTTCTGATACCATTTTTTTTTTAGAAATAGTATTATTGTTATAACAGAACTAGACCTTATATATATATATATTAGAAATTAATACTTTCATTCAGCAATGATCCATTAAATTGGTAAAAGGTAGACTTACAATGTTACTTTCTATTCATCATGGACATATCACGGTTTTCACAAAAATATTAAGCAGTACAACCGTTCTCAACATTAATAATAAGAAATGTTACCTAAGCTCCAAATCTGCATATTAGAATGATTTCTAAAGGATCATGTGACACTGAAGACTGGAGTAATCGCTGCTGAAAATTCAGCTCTGCCATCACAGGAATAAACGTATACATTTAAATGTATTAAAATAAAAAAAACCTGTTATTTTAAATGGTAATATTTCACAATATTACTGTTTTTACTGTATTTTTGATCAAATAAATTCAGCCTTGCATTAAAAAAATCCAACCCTATAGACTTTTGAACAGTAGTTTAGTAGTTTGCTGCTATGCCTGCAACAAATTATTGTGAACGTGTTTACATTACTGTGCTTCCCTCTAGTGGACAGATCAGCATTCAATCACAACCTAGCATTAATGGTGGTGTGTGTTATTGACGACTGATTTCTATAAAACACACTGTTTGTATACCATCAGAGTCCGACAGTTTTGAGGATAACTTCAGAACTCAAACAATATTTGAAGCCACACAACATACATTTATAAAATAGTCTAATTGAAATACATGACAGCATTTCAAAATATATTACTTTAATAAGAACATTTCTTTTAAATAAAGTTAAATAAAGTTTTAACAAAACAATGAAGACATACTTTACTTTTTCTAATGCTAACGGCATGGAAAATTCATCTTTTTAAAAGAACCTTTCCCAGCACAGTAGAGTAGGATAAATCATGAAATCAAACAGACAATTTTAATATTACTAGACAGAGCTTTACATAAAAGATCAAGTGATTATGCGTAAAGTTATCTCTTGTTTTAACTACACAAAATGGGGGTCCATCTATAAAACCAGTGCTTGAATCCTAACCCATAAAGCATTTGTGTAATTCCAAATACCCTTTAAGATCATGTCGTATGATCAACACCCTGCATTAAATCTGTACATATCCGTAAATATGACATTTATCAGAATAGTACTATACACCACACCCACAATATTCAACTTAAAATGGCTTATGTTTTAAAGAAACTATGGTTTTAAAATATACAGCTAAAATATTACATAAAATACATGTAAAAATGTGCCCTGTTCAAATTTCACAGTGCATAACCAAGCAAGAATAGACATCTGTCTCTGCATTTGATGACTGATCCATTACAGTAGCTGGTTTTCTGATTTGCACTTTCCTTTTATTCAAAACCTACATTGAAGCTATTATTGCACAATCGGTGCAAACCCTTAGAGGCTTATGAAAGAAAACAATACAACGTAAATCAAACATTAAAAAAAAGCTCCACATCTTGCTTCCATCAGAATATACTTGCCGGGTGGGTTACATTCCTGCAGTTTTTCAGCACTATTTCTAGTTAGCAGAAGTGTACGCCTAATCCATACATAAATCACCATTCCAGGGTCTGCTGGTTCAGTCTTATCCCAAAGACTGCATCATAAAGTACTTGATGTACTTGGAAAAGTCTGTTTATATATCAAAACGATGTGGATACTAGCATGTATCATCTGAAAAACAAAACAAAAGACGAAGACATGAATTTAGCATGCAGAGAGAGCAAAGCAAACAAAGTGATTTGAACTTTGGTCAGACACTAAAATTTCTGACTAAAATAACTCGCATGAAAATAAGTTTTATAGAAAATAACGGGATACACTCACCATGATACCACCACTTGGTTTTCTTTGGATTCTTATTACATGTCTTTACATAAAAGGAGTTATCTGGAGGACGTCGCTGGAAAGCAAAAGCAAAAACCGTAATAAATGAATTTCATTAACCTTCCCCAATTTGGTGAATTAAAAGGCTAAATGTACCTTTTCTTTGCAGCTTGAAAGCATGCTAATAATGCTTAAACAAACAGATTGCACAGACAGAGCTGGTGACCAGTCCTCCGTTAAAATAGATAGACAAATGTGACCGTTGCTATAGACGTGCGGATGGACAGGTATATTTTCTCCAGTGAACATTACCTAGAAACAATATATATTAGCAACAAGCATTCAGCTTTTTCACGTAGGCAAAAAAAAAAAACACCAACATATTTTAAAAGATTCAGACTTTACCTGAGGTGAATCAAAAGGATATCGACTACTGAATTTGAAGAGGAGCTGAAACTTCTCTCCTTCATAGAGAGTACCTGGAGCACCTTCCATATCTATCAACCACCTGGACAAACACAAAGTTGTGTAAATGAGAATACAATCACTGATTCCTTGCTTATTAGCCCATTCAGTACAGAAACTTAAATAGATTAAAGTTAGTCTACCCAGAAATGAAAATGTATCTTCTTTACTCACCCTCATGCCGTTCCAAACCCATGAGACTATCGTTCATCTTCAAAACACTATATTTTGATGAAACCTGGGCAATTTCTGTCCCTCCACTGAAAGTCCATTCGGCCAAGTTTTTAATGATTTTAAAGGGTTATAAAACATGCATGTGATGCAAATATGTTTAAGCATTTGTTTTCTACTTTTTAAGTGTTATATGTATGTGTCAAATTATAAATATTTATATGTCAATTATAAATGCGTTTATGTCTCTTCAAAAGACTTGGATCAAACCGTTGATACTGATAACATTTACAATCTCTTTATAAACTTTTTTTTTTTTTTACTAGTAAACGTTTTGGTTACATGGACAGAAATCTCTCAGATTTCATTCAAATATATCTTCATTTGTGTTTCAAAGATGAAATAAAGTATCATAAGTTCGCAATGACATAAGGGGGAGTAAATGAAACTGAAGTAGTGCTTTAGTACTCAGAAGTGAAGGAAGATAATCCTGGGCTTAAAAAAGCGGAGTTTAAGATGATTACATTTTGGAGAAGTCCACATACTTCACACTTCTGTCATTTTTACTGGAAGATCCGGTTGACATACTGATTAAACATTATGAGGTCAAAACATTAAAAATTTTTTTTTAAAAAGGATGGAAAAATTGTTCACAAATAAATCTATTACATGAATTTAGAAAATACATGCATTTTCATGGCATGGCAACTTTAAGGAAAGGTTGCAGGTTGTCAAAATATAACCCAGCTTCACTGCTCGATCTTGCATCTTTACACATCTCAGAACGTACTCAGTGATTGTGTTCTGCACACTTCTCTCATTAAGTGTCATTCCAGGAGGTGGATCACTTTGCAATGCCAACAATTCCTTTTGTAATCGCTTCTGAAAAGAGAAAATAACTTGATTTAAGGGATGCCTCAAAGTAAAAACAGGACAGCCCTCATTACATCATAATTCATCATTTTAATACAAAGTGTATAATTTTAAACACTTCCCCTTAATTAAATCCTATTGTCCGAAAAGTACTGAAAAATACAATTAGCAAACAGACTGCTAACAGCGAGCTAGTCAATCAAACGAGTTGCATTGCTATAGAAGCTAGCGATTCAACACCATTATTTACAGCTTCGGAAGAACTCTGCTACATAATTCCCGTTTCACATCTCTTTATACGTATCGTCTTCTACCTCCACAGCAGTATGTGATGTGACAGCACAGAGTTTGCTGGGTTGTCAGACTGACTGAACGTTAGCTTACAAAGTAAACAAATGTGCGTACAAGTGAAACAGCTGACTGTCCTGGGTTCAGATTAGCACTGGCAGGGACACTGGACAAAACCCGGAACGTGTCACAGCTATGTGTGAAAAATTATTTATATCCTTATTTGAAAATAGTTGCTTGTATGTTATACTCACCTGCATAGACGCCATGATGGAAAGCCCCAGTAGAGAGGCAGGCGATTGGCCGAATGACGTCTGATCAGGGTTTTTTTTTCACGGAACCGCAATGCAACAACATTAACACAGTTTGCAACAATGTTTAGGGGAGGTACTACAGGTGAACTATGGAGGACGAAACCTGCAAAAACAATAAATAAATAAATACACAAATAAATAAATAAATGTGTGCACAAATACACGTATTCTTGTTTAAATACATAAATAAATAATTATACATGTAATGAAAGCAGGCAAATAAATAGTATAAATTAAAGGAAATGCTAAACTCATCCTAACTATTTTCCTTTGATCACTCATTTATTTCTGAATGTAGTTCCATTTTTTTCCCCTCTGCGCAATATGCTAATGAGAGGGTGTCAATTATGCAAGAGTAGGCGGATCGTGTGTGATGCGCTTGAGCGTTTGCCTGCGTATGCGTATTAATTTCAAGGGGACTGATTATTATCTTACACTTTTTCATAGGGTTAGTTTTGTAGTTATAATCATGAGAGAGCTCAATTATAAAAGATTTTAAGTGGCCAGTGTAAAATATTAATGCTTACATATCTCTTAATTGCAATACTGAACCGTTATTTGCTTAATGATTTTTTTAAAAGATACTTTTGTCACCTGTATTTTCTGTTCTGATAACTAATGGGAAAAAACTGTCTGTTCCTCGATAAAACCACTTCATACCAGTCATCTTACGATGACCATGGGATACTGATATTACAGTTGTCTCTAGCTGGAGACTCAATCGGGTTACAAAAAATGACGTCAGGAAATGACACCTCTGGCCATTTCTTTGGGTCGCCTGTAAAGTCACAGATATTGTACGGACAATACAGCTCAGTTTTTCTATGTATCTTGCTCTGTTGAATGGCAAAAGTGACTTTACTAGGCTATACTGGATTTATACCATGCATCTCCTGTCAGCGGGAAAGCCACGCGCCCTGCTATCACAAGACCCGACCAAGTCCATGGTTGACACCCTCTCATTAGCATGTTGCACAGAGGAAAAATAAATGTGGAACTACATTCAGAAATAAATGAGTGATCAAAGGAAAATAAATAGGATGAGTTTAGCATTTCATTTTCCATTTGTCCACCAATTTATTTGATTTATTTGCCTGCTTTAATCAGGTTTAATTATTTCTATATGTATTTAAACAATAATTTGTGTATTTATACAGACATTTATTTATTTGCGTATATATTTATTTATTATTTTTGCAGGTTTCGTCCTCCATAGTGAACATGCTAACATCCACTTATACAAGCCCAAATACTCTAAAAATCCTCTTTTTTTACGCAAGAAAATACAAAACAATTGTATTGTAACGTTATGTGCTAATTAACCGAATTAGGCATCAGACTGCGCTTGTTTGCCACACTATTTTCTTCAGTAAATATTACTCAGGGTGGTTTTATTTTTATGAGTCAATTTCCCTTTAGGTATTTAATTTGAATCAATTAATTTTCTCCGTTATAGCAGAAAAAAAAGTTAATTGACATTTTGTGACAACGTGCCCCGCTATATGGGATAAATAAGTTGTCACAGGGCCCTGCCAAGTAACACAGCTAAATGTGAACAGTAGAAAGACGAAAGCATTAAAGGAAATATACAAAATTATCACACCATTGTAGTGACCAATAATAAATTATATATTTAAAACATAAAATGTTTGAATGCAATATTTTATACATTTAATTGTCTATATATATATATATACAGTGGGTACGGAAAGTATTCAGACCCCCTTAAATTTTTCACTCTTTGTTATATTGCAGCCATTTGCTAAAATCATTTAAGTAAATTTTTTTTCCTCATTAATGAACACACAGCACCCCATATTGACAGAAAAACACAGAATTGTTGACATTTTTGCAAAAAAGGGGGGGGGAAATTCAATACACACAATTCTGTTTGGTTACCCACATTCTTCAAAATATCTTCTTTTGTGCTCTATAGAGGAAATACATTCATACAGGTTTGGAACAACTTGTGAGTAAAGGACGACAGAATTTTCATTTTGGGTGAACTATCCCAGGGTTACGTGCACATATGTAATTCACAAAGCAGAAAAAAATTAACAAAAGATTTTCAATAACAGCTGATTTTATTCATTAAACAACTGATGAATGACTACTGCGGACAATTACAAGATTTTGTCTGATGAGTCTACATGCAGAAAAGGTATAACAAATCTATTTCAACTGAATTTTTTACTTGTTAACACAAACAAATACTTTATAAAATTACATGTCTGTCAGGTTGACTCTAATCATTAAAATATTTAATATGAGAGCATCACTTCATGCATTTTTATTTTGCAATACATAAATTATCAAGTTAATACTGGGTCAAAGCTTAAAATAAAATCAAAAATCAAAATAACTTAGATATCCACTAATTAAAAAAAAAACAGGGGGGAAAATTACAGGTTAATATAACAAAATGACCAAACACAGTTATACTTCTAATTCAGCACACCAGATCTCTGTTTGCAAACCTAAATGTATTAAAGCAATAAAATAAACCAATGATATTTTGCTTTTCATGTTTATTCTGCATCCAGACGTGTATATGAGTGTTTCTTTTTTATGTTTAACAATCTAAGAAGTTTGCAGCCATCAGAAGCTCCAGCGCTATCTCTGGGGCAATAGGAAATTCTGGGATTTCTGTTGAACTATTAGTATAGCGGACTTTATATGTAAAGTACATGCACACTTTAGAAAGAACGTGAGATGGGATCTCTCGAAAGTTGACCTCATTTGTTTCATTCTCAGCAAACTGGCCTGAAAAAGACAAAACTATGTTACTAGCACGTTAATGCTTTATTAATATTAACACAAAAAAAGAAAAATTACACACTTACAATACGTAAAACATCAAATATAAAGAAATACAGAGAATGTGGAATAACTACTGTTGGGCAAAAGTCAGTAAGGATCCTACAGTAGAAGGAAAACAATAATAAAAAATATATAATACTAAATAAACAATGCAGCACTTATTTAAAATCTAAGAAAATAGAGATAGATGTAATTTAAATTAACGCAATCCACTGTTATTCATTTCTTTTTCAACAAATGCTCACCAGGTCCACTAAGCATAGCTTTGATTGTTCCAGACGTCAGAGCATGTTCTCTCTTCACGATAAACTCATGGCCATCAGAGGAGATCAATTTCACATACATGGCATCTGGCCCTTCACATCCACCATAAGTTTTTTCTTCTCCATCTAAAATGTATTCATTTGATCATACGCTCAAGCCACCAACATAATATCATGCAGGGGAAAAAAACAGTATTTACATCCTTTAATCTAAGAAATGGATTTTAAAAGTACCACATGGTTTATTCTCACAATAACACAAACTCACTAGGTCCACTGGTCCAGGATAAGTACTTTATTAATTTGTTTACAAAAGCTTAAAATATCTTACCCATTTTTACCACCTTTCCTTGTCAGTCTCTGAAATATTATAGCGAAAAACACAGGTTTAAATTAACAGAAAGTAACCCCACAAAAAATATAATGCAACGTTAGTAACAGCATATACAGATGTTCATGAAAATGCTTGCCAAGAACCAAATATATATGTAATCTACTTTATATTGAAAAATAACGGTTATTTATATTGACATTTGGCACAAAAATAAAACAGCTCCACTAGTCCTGTGAAAGTCTGGGCCATGCATGCACTACAATAAATCATAGGCAATGAGTTAACTTGTCAGTTAGCTGCACAGCGTACAAATCGTATTTTTCCATAAATATTGCAGTAGACAGCATTCGCACGAATCAAGATTAAATAGGCATAATTAAATACACGATATAACGTCTCACCTAACTAAGATCGAGCTGGTCAGAGAAATGATTATCAGTTTTCACTCCAAGCTTCTGGCTACTGCTTCTTCTGCTGTCACTGCCGACAACAGGAAACATTTGTTCGGCAGAGAATCGACGCACTTCCGTTAAATATTACAAAATAAGAGTCGTCCTCAATATGTGTTAATAATTAATAACACATAAGAATTGCGTGTTTTCGGTTGAAGTATCTTTCAAGTGTAATGTGTACGACATATACCTCTTCACACCGGTGAGGTTTTTGAGTAGCCCATCTTTAGATGGACTGCATATGTGCTCACAAACCAAATTGCTTCCGGTGTTTAGTGGTCTTGCTGTTGCTGTCGGAGGAAGTGGAAAAACTACACATGAAAAAATGTATCAGCTTGGGATTTTGCAGGGGTTTCGGCGTCTGTCAAAACCCCAGCAACAGATCATCAGAAACCTCCAAGTTGCTGTTCGTCCGACATTACACAACAATAGGAATATTTGCCACACTCATGCTCTACTCTTAAGAAGGCAGGAACATTTGCTGCATGAGAACCGAAGGTCATTTTTGAAAGTCCATGCAAAAAAGGTAACGTTACCTAGTAGAAGACTACCAAATATGCCATTTGATGTTAACCTTTCTGTACATTGTACAATTGTTTATGTAGACTGTGTCCATACCGAGACGGCTGACTGGACAAAAAGATTTGCAGGGTCCAAAAACATAAAATACGTTTAGTATTTTTTTGATTTTGCTTTACATTATTTTATTTATGTATTTTACCCATTTTTATTATATAAAATAATTTAAAAAAATTGAAATGGTCCTGTCCTGTATAAACACATAACAAGAAAATGTAAAAACAAATCAAATGTAAATGTAAGAAAATGTACATCCACGTGATCTATTTAGGTGCTATTTTTTAAAAAATTATTCTGACATTATATTTATTGTGCTCGAAAAGCTTAACATTTGCAGCTTTTAAAAATGCACTTTATGTTTCAAAATACAAGTGCGTTCATTTTATTCTAAGAAAAAAATTATTAAACAATCTAAAAATTGTAATTTAAAATCTGAAAAAAAAAGCAGCTGCACTTTATTGAGAAGTGTTTTTTTTTTCAGAAGTGCTACTCTTAATAGATTTGAATGTTTGTAGGTTCTGCCATATTGTGCTGTTAGATGGTATAAACCCTTACCAGTCCAGCCCAAAGATGGAGAATTGATCTACACGGGCACCCTGGGAAAAGCTGTCCTTGGTAAATGACCTGGCATATAGAACATACAGTATTTATACTTGTAAAATACCTCTAAAAGAATCTAATGAGTTGAATTTGCTCTTGTTGTAGGTGTGAAGTTTTTCTCCTACTCCAGCAGCATGTTTAGTCTCTGTGTGATGCCATATGTCCTCATGAAAACAGGCATTGGTGTAAACAGCTTGGCACTGCAGGTGGCGTTTTGTGGCATTATAGGTTTCTTCACATTTATGACACCTGTTCTCCTCCACTTGATCACCAAAGGCTATGTAGTTCGTCTGTACCACAACAAGGAGACAGACATGTACACGGCCATCACTTACAGCGCTCTTCTAGTGGAGAAACGGACTGTGTTCCATCAGAGCCATGTCGTTATCCCCCATGTCAGTCGGATGTTCACCAGTTTTTATGCCAAGAAACACTCGATGCTGGTTAACCCAATGCTTTTTCCTCTGCCCCACGACTACAACCACCTCATGGGTTACGACCGGCCCTTCTCTTTTGACACAGATGACTTGAACAATCCAGATAAATGTTAACTTGTCCGAGCTAAATCTGTCCAGTGTTCGTGGACACCCAAAATGTATTTTCATCATCATGGACTACTGTAATGTATTAAAT